CGGCTCCTGTGTTTCGAAGCCGAGCGGAAAGCTGCTCGCCGTGACCCGCGGGCGCTGTGCTGCGTGGGAGCGCAGCGGGGTCCGCGCTGCCCGGAGGAGGCGGTTGGGGCGGCTGCTGGGGCGGGAGGGTGACAGACCTGCGGGCGGGAAACCCGTCCCGGCAGCGGCCTGAGGGAAGCACGGGTGTGTTTAGCCGAGCCCCGTTGTTTCTTGGCACTGAGCAGGTAGCAACATGTAGTTTGTAATGTTGTATTCAGATTAGTCGTAGCAGCATGTAATAGACTTACAGAACTTTAAAAACAACTTTTTTTTATTTTTATTTTTTTAGTTTCATGATAGTTGTGCTTGAAAACCACTTTTATACTGAGGCAGTGTTTCAGGCAATTTTTTTTTTTTCTCCAAATCAGGTTTTCTTTAAAGCTCATTGCTTTCTAAAGCGCTCCATGGAAATTTCCAAAGAAGGTTTAACTTTTGTGAGTTACTGTTTTGGAAATACCTAATACAGGCCAATAGTTTGTAATGGGGTAACAAATTTGATAGTTCCCCTTTTGTGTAATTAGAATAGTGCTGACTTACAAAACTGCAAATGGGAGAGGTTACTGTGGAAAATACCTGACAGAATTTCAGGATAACTTATGAAAATATCTGTACATACAGTATGTCAAACTTTCTACTGCAGTTCAGGTGGTATTTTGTCAGATTATTTGACCTTGAGGTTTTTACATAATAATTATTCCCTTTATTAATATAGCCCTATTAGAATGGTGAACATCTGAAAATGTGTAATGTCCTTCTTTCCAGAGCAGCTGCTGTAGAGTGGAAAACTGCTGTCACCCTCGTTTTAGAGGTTGGAGGAACTGAGACAGAGAGAAACTAATAATAGAAAAGTTAACTAGAAGTTTATCTGAGAAAGGTTTGAATACAGATCTCTCCAGTCTGAGGCAAGTTCCGAAACCTAAATAGTTAAATAGTTTTTCCCTTCTCAGCAGGTACCTTTCTTAAACATTTTCCTGATTTTTATCATAATATCTTATCGGCCCAAGGCTTTTTGAAAAAAAAAAAGTGAGGGAAGAGGGAGAAGTAGAAATCAAAAAGAATTGTAAGAATTTGATGTTGTAGTTTACATAACAGAATTTGTCATGTTTTAAGTACGTCTCTTCTTATTCCTCAAAACGTAAAAATTGTTATTCTTCCTCTGCTATTGTGTGAATACAGTTTGACATCATCTAGTTTTTGTCACCAGTACTGTTGAAAAAATTATTTGGAAATTCCTGAACTCCAGATGTGCAGCTGAGTGAACTTATAACTTTGAAGACAAATTAGTTCTTTAATTCTGCTGTGCTTAGTATATTGGTGTGAAAAATAAGATGTATATTTTTCAAAACGAAGTAAAATGAGTCTAGAGAAAGGTGTCTGGATCATAAATTTAAAATACAAAGTTTCAAAGCCTTTTGGGACAGTTGCTCATACTAGGTAAAGTAGCCCCTGCTTTGGAGAGAAATTTGTTGAATTGTGTAAAATCCTTATAAAAATGCCTTTGCAAAGTTACCAGTTGACTCATCTGTAGGCTAGAGCAAGTTCAATGGGAGCTCCATTCTACCGTGTGTTGACTTCTTTTAGACTGTGCAAGTGTACCACAAAATCACCCTAGTTCTCTTATTAGCACTTTAATGCTTACAGTTGTAAGTTTTTGTAACTTTTTAAGTTGTAATCTTTCTGAACTGGCTCCTGGTGGGCCAGACCAAGTATGAACCTGTCCTGAAGCCTGTTCCAAAGTGGATGTCAGAGTGCTGTGAATAGTGGAGGAGGGTGGGACACGGTAAACTAGACTCTTTTTTGAGGCAGTTTCTGAAGCAGTACCCAGTTGGAGATTCCTTAGGAGTTAAATCTGGTTATTGAGTGTGGCTGCTGTCCTGTAACATAGCTATTTACAAGATTTTTGGAAAATGTGACATGGAATCAGAAGAGAAGAGTGAGGATGGGAGAAGAAAAACAAATTCCTGAGTGTTAATGGAGGCACAGGTACAATTTATGTAGACAGCAATACAATAAATGATGTACCTCTTCTTAACACCCTGATTAATTTGTGTGTTTCCTGCACTTGTGCTTTAATACCATCACAGTTTTATATTATTGCTGCCCTGTTGTCTTTAAGCTCTTTTAAGACCCAGGATGGCTCATTGTGTTCTCTACAATTATTTTGGAAATATGAGCAGCATACATGACAATATATAAATAGACTTAATAATATAGAATTTGGTTAGTTAGAAGCATATAATTTCAGAGGAGTTGCTTGACCAAGATTGGTATCTTTCTACCATTTAGCCTTTGACTACGTGACTACTGTGCATTATGTCTAAATACAGACTTAATTATGCAGTATAAAAGTGCTGTTTTTTTAATAGGTAGTTATTACAATGAAACAGTTGTCTTTAAACTGAAAAAAAAACTCAGTGAGGACTGCTTAAGTAAAAATGGTTTGATAGATACTTTGTCAAGGTTTTCTGACTTCGACAGGTAAGGAGCCAGAGCTATAGTTAGGTATATTGTAGAAGTGTTGAAATATCTGCATCTCCCTGTTGCATCCAGATTCAGGAACAGATAGGAGACAACAGAGACTTTGTCCTGTTGTCCAGGAAAATACAATTTTATGGAATATGGGAAGAGTCTTGTGTTTTCTCATCTTTGTACAATGATATTAAAACACATACATTTTTTTCAAACCCATTCTGTCAAAATACTTTTTGTGAATAAAGAAATATTAATTCAGGAGAATTATTTTTAATGCTGTGGTTGAGAAGATACCAACACTAACAAAACCATAAAGTGTTTGTTCAAGTCCTGGTATGTTTTTAAAACCTTAAATCCTAAATACTGTTTACTTTCCTTCCTACTGGTAGACCTTGCTTAACAGCTTCATATTTTCAAGTTCTGTCATCAGTGTAGTGAGGTTCCCATTTCCCGTTCTTTGGTTGATTAGACTTATTTGAACTTAGAGGGAAAAGTTTTATCTGAGATTTTTCATGTGCACCTTTGTTACTTTCAGCTATACACATTTTTTCCGAGGCTTACTTTCATCAGGAAGGTTCACCTTCACCTTCAGCTGTTCTGAAGAATGTTGGTTTTTAACCTTGTAACACTTAATGAGATGTAGTTGATCTGCAAAGCTGGGCAGATCAGTTGTTTTATTATTTTCTCATATTGATGGTACAGTCAGGCTTTTCTCAAGTAACGTGTGATAAAACTTTGTGTGCAGAATTTCATAGCAGATTATGTATAGTACATATGTACTTAGGGGTGTTTTAGAAGTATTGCCTGAGATTGTATCATACCTAGTACTGAGGGGCCACAAACACAGAATGAGATTCTCATTGTCATTTTTCTGTTTGTTTGGGTTTTTTTGATTGTAAAATACAAGTATGAAGAGTGATCAGAGTAGGCACCAAACTGTATACCTTCACTTAACCCTTCTATTTCTCCCTTCAGAATTCTCCCTGGGTGTGTCTTTTCCAGCTTTTCCCCCAAAACAACCACTTGAGGAAGCCTCAGTACTGGTGTTCACAAGACTGATGCCATTCTGATGTTGTGGATTCTAGAGAATGCTCAGTTTGATAGACACAGGACCGAGGCAGCAGAGATGGGCCTGCTTGGAAAAACAAGGTCTGTCCAGCACCTCTAGTGTGTTGGCACGTCCTTAGTCAAACTCATCATTTTTCATCAGTCGTTCCCAGTTGGCAATGGGCACGTGTAGAAATCTGAACCATGTTTTTCTCTAGGTAGTTCCACATACTACATTGAACTGGTGGGATGTGGGGAATAATAGCTCTAGAAGGCATTGTTTCTTTGGAATGTGGCTTCTTCTGGAAGTTACATTATTCAAATACAGATTACATTAAACAACACGTGTTTTTCAGTATACATCTTTGGTGTTGGGTTTATTTTTTCCCTTAAGGTGAAAAAGTTCATCTTATTTCTTGCTTTACAATTGAAATACAGTTGAGTTGAAAAGATTTAATTTGGAAATTAAAAATAAAAGCAGCAGGAAAACATTCAGTAGTATGATTTGAGTATGCAAATTGATCCAAGTTCAAATTGCAGTATTTTGATTCAAATTGAGATACATGATGTAAAGTAGCACCTGTGTGTCTGATCATAGTAGGAACTGATCTATTGGTTTATGAAGTACTTGAAGATTTACTTTAAAAAAAGCCAATTTCCCTATGCATGGCTGTATATTGTGAGATTATGACCTTCAGATGCTTCTGTGACTCTTCCACAGTTTTGAATTAAATCAATTACACCTTTTTTCTTCCCCCAGTATGTGAATTTTCTGTAATTCTGCTCTATATGCCTATCCACCATCTTCTCTTCTTCTGGTCTTTATTAGACACAGCTTTCTGTAGTGCATGATCAGTATAATGTAACGTACCTTCTGACAGAAAATGTTCTTGTTTTCTTGCTTTTAGGTGAAGGCGAAGCTTAAACTTAGGGCAAGATACCTTACTGTTCATGTGGTATCTAACAGTAAATGAGTTTTCAAACCGACTGAAAAAAATATGGTTTCTTTAAATCTGCACCTCAGCTTTTTAGTTGTTAATATTAAGAGTATACTAATAATTTAAAATAATTCAGAATGCCAGTGCATCCAGCTGAATTTTAAGAAGAAACCAAATGCTGCGATCAGCAACGTTTTTACACTTTTGCACATGTCTGTTGCTTTGAATTAACACATTTCTGAGGGAGGAATGTGGCCTGTAGGATACGTAGCTGGCAGCGATGAATGAACGAACCCTGACTGGGATTCTGAGTGAGTTTGCTTAGAAACTCAGGAGGTGTTCTGTGGGAGCAGCAGACAGCAATGACACACCAAAAAGCCTTTCTTAACACAGAAGAACACACTTCACAGCTGCTGGCTACATTTTGCACAGAGAAAGCCCCACTGTTAGTGTGCTTACCTTGGGTTGGGTTTTTTCCTCCCAGTTGTTTAATGTGGAGAAAAGTAGTATGTGTCTAATGCAGTATTTTGCTGTTTTGTAAGTTTGCACTTCAAGAAGAGTGTCTGTTAAGGCTGTCAGAGGACTGTGACCCAGAGTGAGTGATGACTGACACAGCAAGGTGCAGGGAAGACTATCACCTGTCTGTTATGAGTTTTGATTGTTTGTAGTTTGTTAATTTTTGTTTGTTTGTCCGGCTGCTCTGGATGGACAACTTATTGTCTTTAGTCTGTCATGTGTGCTAGACATAGAACAAAGTGAAACATGAAAACATAAATGTGTGAAGGTCTTTGAGGTTAAGGTCAAGAAAATTGATATGTACTTCAGTATTTCTGAACTTGAAATTCAGTCTCTTGAATCTAGATGTGTATGTTGAAAAAGTCACAGTATTTTGTCTGGAATTTTTTCTAGGAACTGTTGTGTGCTGCTTGGTTGAGTATATTGTACTGAGCCAAGTGAAATTCTTTGTTTTGTATGGTCTGAGCCCAGCTTTTTTGATCTAGTAGCCCTGGCATAAGTACCTTTTTTTTTGTTAATGTGGCAATAAGATTTTCCATGTTTTGGGAGAAACTTGTGAAGGTTAGGCCTTTTTAAGTGAACACTTGTATGCTAAATTAGTGAAAGAAATGCCTCATGCTACTTGATAATAGAGTAAATGCTATGAAAGTAGGTGTGGGAAAGGACTATAATTAGTACTTATGTGAATGTTGTTGACCTTTCAAAAGAGGGAGGGATAGATCTTTTACTTAATTTTATGGAACAGGTTTTGGTGATTAAATGGCAGATGAAGACCTTGTATTTATAGGAGCAGGGTTGTGCTGCTAGTATTGAAGGTCTCTATTTTATTTCTTTCCAATAGAAACTTCTCCCTTCTTGGGAAAAGGGGGACTAAGTAGTTGATTTGTTTTCTGATTCAACAATATACTGTATAACACTGACTCAGATAGTGATAGAGTCATATTTGGACTGATAGAAATTCTTGAGCTATATTCAAACACAAATGCCAGTGCATTCAGATTTGTTTTGATAAGCTGTAGGGAATGTTGTGAATAACACATTTGTATTCGAGACAGCTTTACATCTTTCTGGCCCTCTGCAATTACTGTATTAGATAGTGTGTGGTTTTGACTGCCTTGAAATTGGAGTATGCTTATCAAGGCAGTGGAGCTGCTTGATGCTCATACAGTGCCAAGTAGTACTGAGGGCGATGATTGGCATAGCTGGTATTCATAGAACAGAAACTTCTCAGAATTTTACCAAACCCAAAGATTTACAGAGGGAAGGTGGGATCACTCTGTTCTTTAATTTTGTTTTGCTACTTTTTTTTTTGTTTGTTTTATTTTTTCCATGAATCTATATTTTCAAATACACAACTTTTATGGCTTAATATAAAAAATTGCACGTATATAGCTGAAACATTTACTCTTTGCTTTTTTGCTTCATCTGTGAAGGGATTTGCTGGAAAAGCAGAACTTCCAGTCATGCGACTGTCAGAGGGAGAACACATCTGAAGAATCAGGAGAGCTTAGTAGAAGTGGTTTCAGGGTCTGGGGTTGTTAATATAAGCTGTGTAATATGTGATAAAATATATACACCAAAGAAATGCTTTCAGTGATACATGTTTAGAAGTGCTTTTTAATCTATTTGCTGTCTGTATAGTTGGACAGCTTTCTCTGTTACCTAGAAAATGCCTGATAAAACAGTGACTTCTGTTGCTGCTCCTAGTGTACGTGCTAATAAGTACCCTGTATGTAGAACTATTTCCCAAAATGTTCATTAGAGCATTGTCATTTCAATGTTGATCTAAATGTAGTTTTACAGTTTTGTAGCGTATCTGTGAGCAACAACAAAATGAGTTACCACTGAAGTGCAATCTTTGTAAAAGCAACAAGCTTTCTTGCATATTCTGACATATGGATAGGTGCCATAGCCAGTTGAAAAATGAGAACTAAAAGCAGTTCTGGGAAAAAAAAGTTAAAGAACCTGCTCCCATCCCTTAATTTATTGTTCCATCTCTGTTCTTTTTTTTTTTTTTTTTTTTTAATCCTTGGACAAATGGATAGATGAATAATCATATTGAGATCCCATAGCAGATCTTTTCTCTGAATGTTAGGAAGATCAGTTAACTGTTAGTATCATAGAATGCTTTGGGTTGGAAGGGATCTTAAAGATCATCTAGTTCCAACCCCCCTGCCATGACAGAGTCACCTTCCACTAGATCAGGTTGCTCAAAGCCTCATCCAACCTGGCCTTGAACACTTCCAGGGAGGGGGCATCCACAGCTTCTCTGGACAACCTGTTCCAGTGTCTCTCCACCCCCACAGTGAAGAATTTCTTCCTAATATCTAATCTCTTTCAACGTAAAGCCATTTTCCCTTGTTCTGTCATTAACTGCCCTTATAAAAAAGTCCCTCCCCAGCCTTCCTGTAGCCCCTTCAGGTATTGGAAGGCCGCTATAAGATCTCCCCGGAGCCTTCTCTTTTCCAGGCTGAACAGCCCCAACTCTCTCAGCCTGTCTTCATAGGAGAAGTGCTCCAGCCCTTGGATCATTCTCGTGGCCTCTTATGGACTCGTTCTAACAGGTCCATGTCTCTCTTGTGTTGGGTGCCCCAGAACTGGATGCAGTACTCCAGGTGGGGCCTTACGAGAATGGAGTAGAGGGGCAGAATAACCTCCCTCGACCTGCTGGCCACGCTTCTGTTGATGCAGCCCAGGATACGGTTATTGGCCTCTGGGCTGCAGGTGCACATTGTCTGCTCGTGTTCAGCTTCTCACTCACCACCACTCCCAAGTCCTTCTCTTCAGAGCTGGCCTGAAGCCACTCATCGCCCAGCCTGTATTTGTGCTTAGGATTGTCCCAGCCCAGGTGCAGGACCTTGCATTTGGCTTTGTTGAACTTCATGAGGTTAGCACAGTATCCAATATGAAATACTTGATGTAGTCTTACATGTCTATATGTATAGTATCTATATCTGTATACAAGTAAAGTGTTTTTAGTGAGTTCACCTCTGCTATTGGATCTTTATAAAGACATTCTGTGACTGCTGCATTTTCCCATAATGTCTTAAATATAATAAATGCAATTATTATAAGCCAAAATACATTTTTTTAAGTGGTTGAAACATTCAAATACAGCCAGATTCCTAAAAGACTTTAGTGTAAAGTTTGGAGGCTACATTTCTTTGGAATCAAGTTAAAAACCTCTGGGAAGGTAAAATCCCTAAAGCAGTATAAATCAAGTAAAATACTAAAACACCTGTAAAAGAAGAAGTCCCTTGTGTGTGTAGTCCTTGACATGTCAGTAGACATGAAGATAAGTTACAACTCTGTTGACTAAAACAAATAAATAGGACAGGGAAAACAAAACAAAATTGAACTAGTGGCAAATGAATTGTAGTCACCACTGTGAAGAGCTCGGGAAAAGTTTTTGCGTATTTTAGATTCCTTACTGTCACCACAGTACTTCTGCAAAATAGTGAGGAAGATGAAATGTAGGCTAAAACCCAGCAGCAACAGTTGTCTTTGTATTTTATGTGTTTAATATCTCTTTTTATGTCTGCATCTCTCTCTATATATATCTATATATGAGAGAAACAAGTATATTATAATAATATGATCTTTTATATAATAACAAGTATAATAATATCTTTTTATGTAATTAAATATTTTTTATGTAATTTATATACACACAGAGCTCTTGCTTATGCATAAATAGAAAGCATACATTTTCAGTTCCACTTTTTTTTTTTTTAAATAAGGTAAAAGCAGAGAAATTTGGAAATCGGTAGTGAAAGTGAGACGAAATCCTCAATTTGACAGGAGTTAAGAAGAATGAGAAAGTGTTGAGAGACTAAGAGAAAAAAGAGTGAGGGTGGAGGAGGTACTTTTATAGTGTAAGAGGCCTTTAATTCTGAGAAATAATACTTTTGAAGTTGATACAAGGGAAATGTGTTTAACAGTACATAAACGTAACATCTAGAATTTGCTTCTTATGAGATCCTGAAGTTTAAAAGCTTAGTGGGATTTAAAGTCTTATGAATTTGTATGAATGCCCCTTTTTGGTAAGCCAGCTACTTACTTGAGAATAACAAATAGCCTCTGTAGGCTCTGTGCTAGATTTAGTTGCAGGTTCTTTGAAATAGCTTGTGCTATTCACTGACAAATATCTGGACTAGGCGTCATTTAAGGGGCAATTTCATTAGTCTGAAATTAATGTTGCTGGATTTTGGCTTCATGCAAAAATGTTTTTATACAAAGAAGTCTAATTTTCTGAGAAATCATAGGCATTTAAAATAGTATTTGGGGTGGTTCATAGGTGGTTATGGATTTTGTGCTTTGACTGAGGGCAAAAGAAAATTTAAAATATTCAGCCAATTTCTCCTTATGCTCTTGGTTGTTCTTACTGAGCAGCTACTCTGTATGTCTACATCATATTATGTGTAGAAATAATCATTTTGTTGCTGTTTTAACATGTTAATGTCTAAGATCTTGTGTTTATACAGAAAACGGTTTTGTACCAACCTCTGAGATCATTGCTGTAGAAGAAACTGATTTTAACAAGAAACAACGTAATACTGGCAAATGGCAAAAAATGACAATGCCACATGCTTTCACAGGTAAGGCGGATACAGTGCCAGGATGTTTGTGCTCATTACTTTGTTGGATCTCCTTTACGGTAGATTGAAAAGGAATCTTCATCATTTTGTAAACAGAAATGATGTGTTTAAAAGAAAAAAAACCCACAGTGCCCCCCTCCCCAAACAAAGAAACCCCACCACTAACAAAAAAAAAACCAACCAAAAAACCCCATAAAAAACAAACAACAAAGCACAAAAGATCTGCCAGTGTACATTTAAAGATCCCTGTTTTGGAAAATAAGAGCCTTCCTTTAAGAACACATGCTGTGTTTAGTTATTTAATGAAGTTTTAACTAATGTCTTATGTTTCCACTGCTGAATGACTCTTCAGCAGGGCACTTACTTTCTACTATTTGACTAGAAAATCAAGAGAGAGGCTGGAAAAATGAGTCCTAAATATTTGGGGATTTTAAATGATCTCTAACCATCAGAATATGTGCATGTAAAAGTTCTTTGCATTATTGACTGCACCCTTAAAACAAAGTGCCAGAAATAAATTTCTGTTT